TGCATCTTGTAGATATGTCAAGATATTGATTTCGATCTTTAGAGGCAACATTCATTAAATATTTACTTACGTATGACTTATGTGCCTATACGGAATTTGGCGAAGGAACTCGATTTCAAATCCCTTGGACAACACTTAATCTTATTTTAAATTTGATAATCGCATTTTTCAGATTTGGGGGACCCTAGTTCGATCCCCATCAACCCATAATATTTCCTCTCTTTTTCTCCTCTCCTTTTTCGTTTAAGTCAAGGAGGTTGTGGGTTCAATCCCCCACAAGCTCATTATTTTTCTTATAATTTATCTCTTAACTTTCTCACCTATCCAAGAGGTTGTGGGTTCAATCCCCAATCTCCACATTTATTTTCTCCTAACTCTCTCATCTATTCAAGAGGTTGTGGGTTCAATCCCCACTCACCACATCTATTTTTTCTTGCATTCTTCTCACAAAATTTTTATGAAATTTTCATTTAGTGATGTCATGAGTTCAATACGCAATGACCTCACATTTTAAAAAAAATAAACGAAGCTCATTTTTTTAAAAGTTGGCCGAGACTACAATTTCCAGCAGGCTGAAAATTTAGTCTCTTCCAATCCATTTTTGTCTTAATCTTTTGTTGACTTTTTTTTTAACTTTCATGTAATGATGTCTTGAGTTCAATCCTTAGTGATCTCACTTATTTTACATTCATTTTTCATTGCATTTTGTACCATTTTGTTTGGCCAAACCCAATCTACCAAATGCTGAAAATTTGTTCACTATTTTCAGCTTCCTTTTATCAGCATTCATACGTTAATTCTTAAGACATTTCGTGGATCATTTGGTGCATCTTTAAGTATAACTTTTTATGATTATATTCAGGAAAGAATTACCATTTCATCCAGCAACATTACACCACTTTTACACCTCATGATTTACGCAAACATTCGCACATAAAATTCAACCATAAAAATATATCATTTTTCACATACTTTCGGTTGACATATCTTAACATGCTTACAATTCCAAATACATAATCAAGAACACATTATCACGAAAATAAAACTTCATACTCAAACTACCAGAAAACATACCAACAACATGATCTCTAACCTATTTCACATTGAGATCAAAGGGATACTAGGTACAAGGAGTTCGACAAGAATGGGAACAACCCTAGTTTTCGAGTAGATTCATCTTAGCCTTAAGGGTCTCTTGGGAAAGGGACCAAGAGTAAGAAAACTCATACCTTTTTGACGTTAAAATCTTGACTTGGTGCCCAAAAACTTTACCCAAGAACGTGTCTAAGCCTCCTAATATCAACTCCACTCGAATGACAACCTCCCTTAGCCTAGTGTGCGATTAATGTTTGTTTTCTTGTGATTTCGTGTGAGTTCTTCAAGGGTGAAGAACTTGGTTAATTTTTCTGCTTTTGTATATTATTTTGGCAGAAGAAAAAAGTGAGAAGGAATAAGACAGATTGAGCGTGAGAGTGGAGAGATAAACGCGAGAGAGTGGGAGTTGTAGGAGGCTTAGGAGTCTAGTTTTAGGACTAAGTCAATAAGGTTTTGTTTATTTAATAAAAAACTGATTTTTATTTTATTTTAAATAAGATAATGAATAATAATTATTAAATAATTACATTAATTCAATAGCTTAAATAAAAAATTACTTTAATCCATTGCTTCCACCTAGGTTCGAACCCGGGTGGAGCAAGACTTCACTTCAAAAGCCCAATTTCGATCCTCTCCCCAAAATACCCCTCCACCTTATTAATTAAATAATTAGTTGTATATTTAGGGTTATTACGATACTACCCTTAGCCTGAAAAAAGACCATTTTACCCCTAGAACCTCCAAACCTAAGATTTTCCCTTTTTAAGTTCGGTAAAGACTCCTTCAAGTAAATTTTCATATTCGAGAGCCCTACATGGTTGGACCCAACCTTTCCAAGCTCAACTAACTCCCAAAGTTAGTTTTCTTGGCTGTAGCAAGGGTTCCGAGGTCTGGTTCTACGCACATCAATCCGTGTGAACCCTGGTCTAATCATAGGCATTCTTGACACATTAAGCATTTCTTATCTTATCCATTTTTAGGGTTGTTACAATCACAATGGTTAATCTCTACTATCAACTACCTCCATGATCATAACTACCACAAAATGCATCACCAACCAGTACCACACATTCTTCCGCCACCATCAACCAACTACTAACATCGATCAACTTCATCATTACAACCACCAACACCACTACTAATCGTCACTATTATGATAGTCACAACAATACACAACCACCTCCACCGTCATAACTACCACCACCATCATTTCTAGCTACTAACAACAACTATTACCATCACCACCACCACTACAAATTACCTCCACCATCACTAGCAAGTCTAAGTGCTTCAGCTTTTTAAATCAAATATGATTTTATTTTATTAATTCTTTTAATATTTAATAAATTTTCATTTGAATTATTATGTGCATAAAAATACATTATGTATATTCACATCAAGAAACAACATCGTCATCATTCAGATGTCCATTCTGATTCTGACGTCTAACCTTAATGAAAACAAGTGAGGCCTAAATATCACAAGTTTCAAATCCGGTTTTTGCATAAAAGTGTCCCTTATGTTTTTCTTCTTTTAGATAATGACTAAATGTAAACACTACTATATCATATGCACTACATATATATCAAGTCAAGGGTCCCCCAGTGCTCACATAGTACGCAACTGGTAGAGTATATCTTTATAGTGCTAGTAGCAATTTCTTTAACGTAACTCTGGCTGGCTGCAAAAATATAGTATGACCATACAACATATTTGATAAAGACATGATATCGACAAATCTCCAAAGTTTCTTTGCATGAAAGACCCCATTTGAAGAAACTATAATTAATAATGACTTATGAGAATGATACAAGTGGAATGATCTACTAATAAAATATTCATGTTTTCAATTGCATCATTACTATTGCTGGTCTTAAATTCATCACAAAATAAGGATAAGAATAAAATAAAACTAAAGAAAATGAAGTAGCTAAGAACCAATGTCCAAGCCCCACATGCATAATGATATTTGAAAAATAATTATATCCATGATCACTAAAATTTCAAGGATGAGAACTTGAAATTCTTTTGGAAAAAAAAAAGGAACAAAAGACATTGACAATTGTGTATTGTGATAGTTGTAATAATTTATATGTTTTACTATTGGCTTTGAAGGCGAAGCTAGAATGTAATTTATGAATTTGGATCACAATTATTTTTGTTTATTGGATTTTTGCTATAATTATTTAAAATATATCTTGAGTCTATCGGTCAAGGAAATGAGGAGATTAATGATGTTGTCATTCACTGTATTGATATAGGATGGATGAAATGGAAGTTAGCATACAACGTTTTGTTGCTCGTGGTTATGGAATTCGTCAAAAACTCATAAATCATAGTAGTCATCGGCTCCTGCAAAGTCATGATTAGAAGGTGCCATCAAAATTTAAAGGCAAGTTCTGCAGAGTGATGGTTAGATTGACTTTTTTGTATTGTACAAAATGTTGGTCAGTCAAGAACTTTCACATTCAAGAGCTTAAATAGAAATGAGGAAATCTAAAACAAGGTGAGAGTGACTTCGATAGAGGACATGATGCGAGAAGCGAGATTAAAATGGTTCGAGCATGTGAAGAAGGGAAGTACGAATATTCCGGTGTGGAGGTATGAGAGGTTGTCTATGGATGATTTTTCGTAAGGTAGATGAAGACCGAAGAAGTACTGGTAAAAAATAATTAGATAGGAATGACAGGGTTTTAGCTTACTGAGGACGTGATTTTAGATAGGACGGTGTGGAGGACATGACTTAGAACAGAAAGTTAGCAGTACGTAGAAGTGTGTTTTCTTGTTGCCCGTTCATATTAGTAGTTGTAGTATTATTCCGATAGTTCTATTGGTCCTTCACTTTCTGTTACTAACGGTGATTTATGTTACTGTTTTTGTACCTCTATAACTTTTTTTTGGACTCTTTTGGATTATTTCGTAGGATTGATGGTCTATGAGAAGAAATCTTTCTATTCCTGAGGTAAAGATAAAATTTATATACAATATAATTTACCTTTTTAGATCTTACTTTTTAGGACTATACTTAATATATTATTAATGTTAGATTTCTCGATATATTATTTGTACACTTTATCGGTACTGTATAGAACTTAAAAGCCTAAAAAGTGAATGAAGAAGTCGTTAGTTGTTACATTAACCCATCATAGCCTCTTTATCCAATGTTGCAACTTGCACCACTTTTCAAGTTGTTATTACATTATAGGTCAATTTGGTTTCCTTTCAATAGTACTATAATTTTCTTTTGAGAATTTTGTACTAGTCATCAGTATGGTGCTAGAAAACTTATAGCAAAAACCTTATAACTTACTATATGGTTGGGCTCTGTGCATATTTCGAAATTATAAAGCTCTTGACATTAGATTTTTAACTTGGTTATATATACTTAAAAACAATCATTTCATCAACCTGTATTAGAAAAAATAATGCATGTCCATGACTCATCAGGCAATCATTTTACTTGTCCATAAACAACTGTCCTAACTCCTATCAATCAATTATAGGGATAGCTGCAAAGAAGAAAATTTTAATATTCCAAAAAAAGATGGAAACATTAATTCTTATCCATATTTACATTCTCTGATGCCAAATGAGATGGTATTGCCAACTACTCCAACAGATAGGACCAAAACTAATTTCTTATCCTATCCTCAACTAATTTTATTTTGGTCCCACAACATAAAACAGTTAGAAAAAGCTTTCAACAATCAATGAACATCAAATGCCCAAATCCCCATTCCCATTATGATAAATAATCAGGCTTGCAAATTGAAACCACAACCACTAAGCTATATTCATAATTTCATATTATTAGTGAAAAGGGTAAAGATGCAATGGACTTAACAGCATCAAGGGATGGCTGATGTTAAATAAGATCAATAACCATAAGAAGACGAGCATTTTGACTAAAATAACTAGTTAAAACACAATTGTCATGACAACTCTACTCTGTGAGGATTTATCAAAAAATACAGATTGGAATAGAATGCAAAGTATAAACTCAGAGCTTTGAAGGTATAAAGGAAGAAAGAAAACTTTCTTGTACCCTTAAACTAGTATCTGTTTCAACTTGTACATCCCCATGGCAAAATTACATTGATGGGGAATCATTAGGTTTAACCTTACACATCAAAACCGCCTAGAATGAGGGGGCAAAATATATGCTGAGGATTGCCTAGAATCAAAAACTGAATTAAGATAACCAACAGGATGTCTCAGAGGCTCATAAGAAATTTGACTACCTATAGGGTGCCTGGACGGAAACATATGAGGAACAGCTGGAGCAATCAGATTTGGGTCTCCAGAATGTTCTGCGAATCTCATCCTTCCATAGGTAGGTTCAAACGGAACAGGTTGAGGCCTATTGTACATGGCTTCTCTTGAGATCATTGACATTGGTCCCCAACTATTCGTCAAGTAGTAAGGCATAGGCTGTTCTCCTGGCTGCCTTCTTGACAACTCAGAGAAAGTGCCACCCAACCAATCATCTGTTCGACTTCTTTTTGTCAAGGAGGAGTCAGTTGGCCCCAGAAGTTTATGCTTTCCTTGTGCCATCCCTCTCGGACTTTTCACAGATGTCCTGCTTTTTGTCAAGATAGAATCAACATGTACAGTTTTCTTATTTCCTTTTGAAAGTGCAACAGATTGCACCTCCTTTTTTCCAGATTTTGCAGTACCAGCGCCAGCTAGCTTGGAGGCTACAACTTGGCCAAATAGGAACTCCCTTAAAGAGTTCCCTCCAATCTTTTTATTTAAGAAATCAAATATGTGTTGGACTGAAAGCTGGATACAGCGGTAAATCTGTTTAACTTCTACTGCTCCTACTGCCCTTGCAACATTTTGAGATCTATCAGCGAAATCTTCAACCTGTGAAAACCGTTAAACTGACATAAATTTATTGCTTGTTAAGAACATGTCAAGAAATGACAAAGCCAAGCACAATCACATTTATACGGCCAACTCTATCACCCCGTGTTCGAGATATCCAAGATCCTTCAAATGTGCTGGCACACAAACCTTCGGACCAGAGCTTCTCAACTGATAGCAACTGCAATAGTTAAATCACACTATATATAATGCCAATATAGAGATTAGAACATAATATGTAAAAATAGCAGCCTGCATGGTACATGAACCATTTTATACCAACGGAGGATAAAAAATCCAACCTTGTTTAATAGAGAAACAAAGAGCTCAGCCACTGATTCTTTATTGCTTATTCCATAGTTTGAAAACTTACACACAGAGCTCTCCACTGCTACTGAGTCATTACCATCTAGCACACAGATGGGAAGTCAATTAAAATACTCGGTGACCAATCAAATACAAACTGAAAGATGGATATATAATACTTGGAAATAGAAAGAACGAGACAGATTCATGACTAATAATTAAAGAGATGTATGAAAACTTAGGCCGCATCAAAGCAAAATAATGCTTCATATTTATGGCTTTTAGAGCTTTCTGCCTAAGACTTTCCATGCACATGAATGACATTCATATAACCTAAATCTCGAACTCAATGAAGTCCATATAGTATATTAATGAATGTTTGTCATAAATTTTTTTGGTGCAGCTTCCCTTCAACTCACGGCTGCACCAAGATGGAACAGGATAACGGTTTTCTTCAAAGATGACAATCCACGATCCTCATATTTGAACAAGCACTTGCATACGTTCTTCTGGTTGATCAGACAAACTTTTGCCTTTCTCCAAGTTAAAAGCCTCTTAAATATGACCTCTTTTTCATGACTTGAATTTTGAGCTAGCACCACCATTCGACATGGATATGACTTGACAGTTGTTTACAGCTCTCAATATACAAGAACTAAATACAAAACCAACCTCACAGATAACTTTCACAGAACACTATATCAGCACAGCATCATACGTCTAATACCAAAACCTAAAATACCAGAACTAAACTTAACATGATATTGTTTAAGAGATGGTAAATAGTACAATTAAGCAACATAGCAATTATTCAAATCAAATGCTAAATATTCAAAGAAACATACTGAAGTCCAAAATGATTCTAAAACGAAATTTGCCCTTTTATGATGGATTGAGAAATTTCAACCAGAATCAAATATGCTACATAGATTTACGGGAAACTTGAAATGTAATAAGCCAGAGTTTTACCTTTGAATAAGGCGGAAAATGGAGGCAGTATGGGAGGATTTCGCGTCTGCAAGGTTTTCAATTAAGCCGAGTAAGTTATGATGAGGAAAAATATTCATAAATAATCTATACAAAGATCTAATTATATGCTTTGATGAGGATCAGAAATACACACACAAACATGTGCATAAATATACTAGTTTAGTCACTTAGTGTACATGCTTTGCATGTGTATCTCACGTCAATCAATAAAACCAGAAATAAGAAAGAACAAAATTATTAAAAAGTAGCAATTGACGTTAAAAAATCCTATAAATGAATATTGTATCTCAAACATACAATTGTCTGGTATTTCACCTGATATCATATCACATATGCATTATTTATTTGTAATTGGTCATTAAGGAACTGTTACACCACCAAACTATTTAACTCCCAAATTAGTGGAAGCGATCACTAATGTTTGCATTATAGTAGGTTATCTATAAAAAAAACATATTGATTTTGTCCATGAACGTACTATAGAACTCTCAACATGAACAAAAAATAGAAAACAAAGAAGAGCGACATTATTGATAAGTTCTTAAGAAAAGGAAAGAACTAAGAGATAAATACAAGGTGAAAGGAAACTTACGCCAACTAATTAGCCAAACTCCACTTATGTGAAAAAAGGCATACTTTATTTTGTCTTGTATAAATTTCACTACTTCAATTCTTTCCTTTTTGTATTTATTGTTTTAATCGTGCCATAATAATATTACTAACATTGGGAATTGCCATATTTCTATTGAAAAACAGCACCCTAGGAACTAAGTTGCTCGGACTCGAGTGCGGGTGTCCGATAGGGTGCGGATCTAGAGGTCGGATCTTTCATGATCTAATTTTTAAGATCCAGGAATATGGATCCATGCATGGATAAGGAGGCAGGGATTCGCCTAAATGTAATTGAAATATCTAAATATAGAGTTATAAAACCTAAATTATGAGATATTATGTGGAGAACTTGAGGAGAATCTTGAAAAGAGATAAAAGGAAAATGAGTGACATAGAAATTTCTATAAAAAATGTATTCCGTTTTCTTCAATTTCACCTTAGCATTTGTATGGATTATAGAAATCATTAAAACTGTCCAGACTTTCTTCATCGATTTTGGTCAAAGTATCCAAAATTGGTTAACCAAATCGGACATGGATCCTACACCCACACCACCCATGTCGTGTCGACACGGGTGCAACACCAAAAGTGAAGAATCCGAGCAACTTAGAGAGTATTTGGATTGGCTTAAAAGTTGATCAAACCTACTTTTAAGTCAATTTTTTACTTTTGTGAGTGTTTGGCAAATATAAAAAATAACTTGAAAAATAAATTAGGAAATGATTGCCAAGGTCAAAAATGACTTCAAATAAGTCAAAACCCAAAAGAAGGTCTCCCCCTACTTTTTTTTTTTTTGGACTTAAACGTCATTTCAGTTTGACTTATTATTTTTGACTTAAAAACTATTTTTTCAAAAACAATCCAAACGAGCTCTAAGCCTAGGAAGACAATTAGAAACTTGATAATTTAGGAAAAGTTCTCCAAGAAATTAAGAGAGGAAAAAGAAAAGGGACAATATGTTTCCTTAAATGACTTCTTGTCGTGATAGTGTAATCCTTTTTGTCAAAAAAAAAAAGTTGGTAAGTTTTCAATAATTTCCTTTAATGATTTGACGTGAGTTATTAAAGCCTTGTCTGCTAATGAAGGGAATTCAATATCTATGTTTATAATCCAAATATGGAAATTTATAGTAAACAAAATTTTATTTATTATCAAAGATAAAAATATTAAGAAAATAGTAAATGGCAGTTTTGTTTATTATAGTCTTCCAATAAATGGCAAAAAGTTCAATCAACATTTCTAAGGAACTAGATGCATCAGCATGTTCAAGATTCGGGAGCCCTTATCATATAATAAACTCTAAGGTCTTATACGCGGAGATAAAAACACGTCAGCTAAACATCCCAAAGAAAAACGAAAAAATGCTCGACGCCTAAAGTTTCTTTAACATGACATCCAGATGAATAGAAAACATGGGAATTTCAAATAGAAGACATGATTAACAAGAGGTTTTAGTATGTCACAAAGAATGAGGAAATAGAAAAATAATGATAACTTGAGGGTTTCTGCAAATGATGAACTTGTCCTAAAAAGAATACCTGCAAATGGAAAGCAACCAAGAGTATTATAGATAAAGAATTCAATGTTTGATCCTTTGCGCTGTTAATATTTTGTGCTTTTGCCCATGCTTTCATCTGCGAAGAGAAATTCATGAGTTCTAACAACAGAAATGTGAAGTAACGATGCAAAACATTCTTTTTAGTGAATAACATTGAACATTGCACCTAAGCAAACACAGCCAAAGAAATATTGGTTTACATAAGGGATATCAATCCCAAAGCAATTTATGGGTCTAAATATTAGACAAGCCCAAAAAGAGAATCGCAACACATATTTGATCACATCAAATTTAAACTGTTTCAATATCAATCCTTATTCAAGTCATAACTGAGGCTTCAAAAACCTCATTGCTCAAAACTGAGAAAAGGAAAGAAAAAAAATGAGGAACTGAATGTATTTAACTAAAGTAAAAAAAACAAAGACAACTCATACATGTGACTGCTGTAAAAATGTCCATGTAGATCATATATATGTGGTGAAACTATTTTTTATTAGAATAAGCTGATAAAGTAACTGACAGCTAAAAATCTTCAGCAGTGCTATCATTTTTTTAATGGTAGCATTCTATATATTAACAGGTATACTATAACAAGTGTACGGTCCCCCAAATCAGTAGAGAACTTATTGCCTAAAACATCAAAATATCTTTCAATTGTACTAAATCATTCCTGTTCCCCAAAAATAGTAAAGAGTGCTCTCTCTTCCTCTCGCCCCCCCCCCCCAACCAAATGCATGCTGGGACAACCCTCCACCTCTCCTTCATATTGGACAAAGACCAGTCTAGTCCCTCCTTTGTGTTTCCTGGCACCATCCACCTGATTCCCCTCTGGTTAATGAATATTTTTCAGATTGATTTGTCCCTTTGCAGTGCAAAAAGAGATGGTTGGTTATCTCTGCCCATTCCCCATATAAAAAACATCTGGAGCATTAAATCCCGTACTTCTCAACTTTTCATGTGTCAACGCTGCTTCTTTAGCCATAAGCCAAGAGAACCAAGCTACTTCCAGTGGGATTTTTACTTCCCAAATCATTTTCCGTGATAGCCTACTTGATATTAACTACGCTCAAAATCTTTTTTGAGAAGGGAAAAAGATTTTGAGGAAAGTTAACTGGCTCAAAATCTTGTAAACCTCTTTCACCGTTAAAGTTCCTTGATCATTTCCTAGCCATGCCATAACATCCCAATTTCCAGTGGAACCCTTTAGATTATTTAGGGTATTGTAAAACTCAGTTATCCTCCCATTCCCCAATCATTTAAAATCCCTAAAAGTCAGATTCCATCCTTGTTAAGACCAAACTTAAGCAACTGTATCCGATTGTTGTTGGCATAATATATGCTGTTGCAGAACACCTTGCTGAATCAAACTTATCTTCCAAAAGGAAGTCTTCATATCATTCCCCACTTTTAATCTTGCTCTGCTCATCATCTTAGGCCACAAATTCCTGATGAACCTCCAAATACTCCACCCATAAGGAGTATTGATTGAATTTGTGGTCCAACTGCTTTCCTCCCTACATTTCTTTCTAATAATTTCTTTCCATATTGGTCCTCCTTTTGTAGCATATCTGCACAACCAATTCAGCATCAAACTATGATTTTGAGCCTTCAGATTCATGATTACACTCCTCCCACTCCCTTGCTTCGTTTCATGATATCCCATTTGACTAACAGGGGATGGGAATAAGAACATCATATAAGTAGGTAGAGCATCTAACAAACTACTAATAAGTGTCAATCTCCCTCCCACAGATAAATATTGCATCTTCCTACTTGTCAACAGTCAACTTTACTTCACCCTTCCCTATCACACCACTCTTATCCCCTTTTAAGTTGTGTTTACCCCCAAAGGCATACCCAAGTAAACTGTGGCAACTCTCCCACTTTGCCTCCCAAAAATGAATCTCCTCCATAATATTAACTGAATAAATGAAGGTCTTTCCCCCAATTAATGTGAAGCCCGGAGATGAGACATTTCTATGTTGTTGTCTATTCTGGTATTTACCTATTTCTAGTAGTCTGGAGCATATCATTCATCCCCGCCATTGCTATAATGAATAGAAAAGGCGACAAAGGATCTCCCTGCCTCAGCCCCCTATTAGAAGAGAAAAATCATGTTGGTGAACATTAACAAGAATTGAGAACTGCACTGTACTGATGCAAGTATGGTCCGTCCATCCGATCCCACCTAGAGCAAAAGCCCATCTTCAGTAGGATCCCAATGATAATCTCAATTTGGGTGATCATATGCCTTCTGGATATCCAGATTGCATAAAATTCCAGGTATTTTACTTCTCTGTCTAGCCTCCACACACTCATTTTCTATTAGTATTGCATCCGTAATCTGTCTTCCCCTTATTAAAGTCATTTAATGACCATCAACTAATTTGTTGATCACATTCTTCAGCCTCTCACCTAACAACTTGGCTATGATTTTATAGACAATACCAACAAAACTGATAGGTCTAAAATCATTGAAATCCACAGCTCCCACCTTCTTTAATATAAGTGCCACAAAGGTGGCATTGAAGCTCCTCTCAGAAACTTCTTGATCATGGAAATTTTTTACTGCAGCTATGACATCTGATCCAATTATTTCCCAACATTTGCTAAAGAAAGTTATAGTATAACCATTAGACCCAGGGGCTTTGTCACCTCTCAGTCTTATCTTCTATACAAGTTATTCCAAAAATTGAATGCAAAGGGAGACAAAAAGCATATAATTAAGCTTCATCCGTACATTGTCAAATCTTAGAAGATACACATAAAAGCTTCTTTTTTTTTCTTTCTATGGATTATGAACAGACACTCGTACAAGCCACATACTTCGTACTTTCTTTCCTAGAATATGAGCTCTAGCTCTCAAAAGTCTTACAACCTCTTAACCTAGGTTGCTCGCACGAGCAATTTTGTTGAAGCTCTGACAATATGACAAAGCAATAACTCCAACAATTAACAAATTTGAAACATATGAAAGTTCATTCTCAACTTCGAAATTTCCTCCACCTATAATTGGGGCACCAGTTTACAATGATTTTGTAGCCTTCACATCAGGTTCTTTTTGCAAACTGAGGCCAAGTGTACTGGTTTTGTTTTCTTTCCGGAATTCTTTATCAAAGAGGCACATGGCCTGCACCCCGAATTCATTTTTCGTCCACCAAATGTCTGCTCCAACTATGTCTGTTGCTATTCAAAGAGGTGCATCCTTAACATTCTCCTAATGATGGAAGCTCACCCCTAGAAGTCCAATTCAGAACTTGCAAACAGAAATTGCAGGATAAAAAGTCCCTTATATTCTCAAATTATTAACGCATCAAATAACATTTTTGGAGGCTTTTAACCTTCAATTAAAATGCATCCCAAAAGGTGAATGAATTAGTTGAGAGGCCAAATTAGGATGGATATTTATGAAAACACCACCAAAAACAAAAAGAGAGGAGACTCTTCAGCTTTCTTATATTCCTGATTCCCAAGTATATGTATGAGATCACAAATGTAGGACCTCATTCGAAGGCTGCATCCAATTAAAAGGCCTCCCAACCAGGACACCAAAAAAATATCAAGAAAAGAAAGATATTCATAATATATTGCAAATATGTAATGTGATCCTTAACATGATTCTGCAACCTTTTTCCTGTGCAAAGGAAGCTAAAACTCTGTTGTGATATGTGTGTGTTTGTGTGTGCGAGACAACAAGCATATTTTACCAAGAAGCTCAATTTCCGAAAACGTTCATCAATGGAACCAATCATGTAAATTGTCTTTGATTTTGAAATCCCATCCTGGTTTTCAACTGATATATCACATTCAATGTCAGTTCCTCGGTCAACAACTTTTAGAACTGGCACCCTGGCAGTTGTAACTGGATTGACACCACGAACAAAACCATTCCCTGAGGCAGAATTTTAAATATCAGAGTCACCAAAAACATTAATAGAAGCTATAACTACAGAAAATGCTCTAAATATCATGTCAAGATAATCAACTTCTAAGGATAAGTATCAAAAAATTAACTTTGAATACCAGAAATGAAGTTCGAAGTCTTCTTACCTTGTAAAAATACATACATATATATGTATATTTTTGAAGAAATTTCAAAGAAATTGTTTCATATTTGTTGAAGTGTGTGATCTCATCTAAAAGCTTATGTTGTTAGAGAAAGCACACTTTTATTATTTAATTATATTCTCAACACACACGTTCACATGTGGGCCCGATTCTTTTTCATGGGCCAAGCACGTGAAAATTATTTTTTATATGGGTGGCAATGAAATTCAATCTCAGTGTAAGCTTAAGTTGTTAGAAAAAGCACACTTCTATTATTTAATTATATTCTCAACAATAACAGAAGATTACTGTAAATGTATCATGGTATATCTGTTGGTCACTGCATAGAGCTTTCTATCTCTACCATCTTAAATACTTGAGATCCAGTAGTTGATAGGGGCTTTGGTAGAATAACTCAATGCACATGGCATTGGCCCTATGGGTATGATTCAAGACATGTCTCCAGTGCCAGCTCAATCCCTTCCACTGCTTCATTACTGCATCATATCTTCTAATCTCTATACTTTTACTGAATTTGAATATATAAATATTACTAAATCAAATAAGCTGCTATGTTCTTCATTTGAACATGAAAAATGTATATCTGACTGAGCGAAAGAAGAAAACAGAGGGAAAATTTTCAAACCACAAAGTTCTCCTAGCATCGATCTAAGAAAAGATAGTCATTGACATGGAATTAAATGGTTTGATATTTATTGACTTGGAGAAAAGATAATGATAGAATGCTAATAAGTTTTTTGGTCAGTACAGGAAGAGAAATGAATTCGAAGGAAATATACAAACACAAGCGTGTACGAAGAATTACTTTTTTTTTAGATAAGGGTAACTTTGTATTCACACAAACAATTCATCATTCAATGAATATTGAATTGGAAACTAACAACCCACAGAGTGGTGGACACCCCCCCCCCCCCATTTGGGTACTTTTACAAGTTTCCTATGAAATCTACCCTACCAACTCTTGTTTAAACCAAAAAATAGTGAACTACTACCATACCAGTGGAAAAGGGCATGACTTCCAAGAAGGAACAGTGGCTATAGTGGATCGTCAAGTGTGAAAACTACGTTTGAAGAATGTCTTATCAACAAAGGTAATATGTAAGAACTACATAGCTAAAGAAAAAACTTGGAAATTCGAGGATGACTTGAGGATAAGACACCCACAACACTCCAAGTCTTTAGGAGGACAAGAATGAAGTAGGGGACCAAATTTCTTAAGGAGATCCTGTCTCCTTTCTTGTTTATCATTGCCATGGAAGGACTGAACACTATGTTCAAAACAGTTATTTGTATGGATAGATAAAGGTTTTAAGGTAGCTAGGGCAGGGAGTGATAGCCTAGAGGTGACTAGCAAAGGAGACCACTTTAACCATGGACAACTTGATGGGTAGAGGTATGACATTGTGTTCAATATGTTTCCCGTGTAAAGAAACAGTTGAGCCAGTCAACCATCTTTTCTGCATTGTCCATACACAGCTCATCTGAGGAGAATCATCCTAAACCTTAAGGACATAGCATGGACAATGCCAGGCAAGATAACAGAGGATAAGAACTGGGAGGGAACATGTTCACATGCTAAGGATAGGAGTAGATGGAAAACTGCCCCACCTTGTATCTGGTGGACAATTTGGAAGGAGAGGAATTCCAGAAGTTTTTAGAGCTTAGAGAATGATGTGCAGCAGATCAAGTTGAACTACATCTTACTGCTATATTTTTGGTGTAATCAGATTTACTTTAATGATACCGTGTCTATGATAGATGTTCTAGATTCTTTATAGCTAGCGAGGGAAGACACTAGAGAGCTCTATTGTAATTATGATTTCAGTACTACCCAAGTACTGTTTGGATCCCTGATATGATACAAAGTTACTGATTTCAAAAAACAAAATTCTTACGAGTCAGAATGTAATACCCCTTCAGTGAGCATGCTAGAATGGTCATCGAAGTAACGTATGGAACTTCTAAGATATAAATTTAAGTAATGAGAGAATAACATTACAAGGATAATCATATTAGGTCTTAGGAGTATAACAATATGATAAGTATAAACTTTAATTTGACAAGAATGCCTCTCAATGTCGTACTTTCTCGAACGAGTACAAAGGAATTTCATATAAGAAGAAGTAACAAATTATTAACTTTTAACTACTCACTATTGTTAAATAATAATAATATTCATTGGACTACTTAATTACATAACTGAAAGGTATTCTAGGATTGAAAAAAAAAACTTAATATCTACGAATTTGATTCTAGAAGCTTAAAGTTATAAAAAAAAAAAACCTAACTGACATGCAGCTAAACAACTTATCCTAGATACTCTACCTAGTGTAGCCGACTTAGCCAAGTAAAATCTCACAACCCACCCAAATACTCCCATTTCCTTACACATGTTTAAGACAACCACCCACCCACCCCACCCGCACAAACCAAATCTAAATAAACTAAGACTAGCATCTAAGGAAATTCTATAAAGAGCCGTCACCACCATTACGTATAATATGAACAGGCATCGTGTAATGACCAAATTACCACAATTCCATATTCCCTTGCAAAGCCTATCAATATAAACAGTAAGTTTATCAACCAGAATATGTTTAAACTTTTAGCTCATTTTGCCAGTGTTAAGTACTTGCTTTCAAAGTCCTTCCTAAACTTACTCATTCCTCACTATGATGACATTTTAGGATTACAAGATTCTTGAAGGAACAATATGCATGAAAATCACAGAAAGTTGAAGAACAAGTTCAAAGGTTACTCTGAAGTTGATAAAACTTTTTTGCAAATTTCCTCAGAGTCTGAATCTTCTTCTCCCGTGTAATGTTAACTTTTCTGTTGGTGAAGTTGACAGATAGGTCCAAGTCACTTTTAACACAGAATAAATCCATTGAATATGACCCAAACACCTCAACAACAGGAGCATCAGCAGAATAGCCTGAAACAAAGAGTAATGAGCACTTGTACAGAGAGTATGGCCCTATGCTACGGATTTACAATTTTGACTCCCCACCCCCATCTACTACTTATAACAATGAAAAGAGAAGTAGCCTGACAAATTGATGAACATTGTGTAACTCACACATCAAAAGATTATGAAATTCAAATAGCATAATACAGAAATATTGTTATTCAATTACCATAAACCTCCTTTGCTATTTCATTAAAGATACGAAGCAAATCTCTTCGAGCATCATAATCGCTTGGTTTAGGGAGACAATCCACATAAACCTCATCAAGCAATACTTCAAATGCCGATAATTGTTCCAAGGTGGCTGTGTATTTCTTCCTCTGCTTCTGTTCACACTGTTGTGCTTCCTTACACAGAACTGATATCATAGCTATATTAGTTGATGACATGTTCACTAGCAAGTTAAAGTTAGAAAAATATCCTCATAGAGCAGTAACTCAAATCATAAATAGGAATTCAGCCAACAGAAGAAGTAAGACTTTCACCAAAAGGTGATAAAGAACAACCAAAATAACCACTGCATTCAATATCATCATACAAGTTCAATCAGCAGAGGTTATCCCCCAAAAGGAAGTGCAATCCATCAGCTGATTGCACTATATGATCCATCTTAGACTTGTAGTTTTAACGCCAATCATTCAGCAAAATTTGTACCAAATAACAAGGTGGAAGGACAAGACAAGGCGATTTCCCGTACTTTTCGTCATGGCTCATGATGTAAAAGCAGTTGTGACACCAAGGATGTCTACGACTTGGTGAACGAAGGAGCTCATTCACCGGAAGACTCTAGATGTCGTAATTTTCTTGTAGGATGGGGTCAAAGATGAATGAAGATTTCAAAAACTACTAGAAAATGACTTTGAATCCAAGTTATCTGGAATTAAAGATGTCATACAAGGATCCGCAAGGGAAGAGACGGAGAGGGAATCAAAAATACAATACTTTTGTGTTCAAAATTCACCACCATCCTCTTTACTTTTCCTTCCTTTTTTCCTTAATAATTGTGGTGTCCAAACCAGCTTACGCGCACCTCGACTAATTCCACAGGATACCTATCACCTCCCACCAGTCTACTAGGTAACTCTATCCGTCAATGCTAGGACAGATGAGAAGAAATCACCTAGTATTTTTGTCTTTACTAGGATTTGAACATGAGACCCCATGGCTCTCAGTCCACTTCATTGACATCTAGGCTACACCTTTGAGTTTTTTCCTCTCCTTTCCCCCTTAACAGTATCAGCAAATGATCCTGAAAGTTAAATAATGGGTGCCTGTGCGCACAACTACAACTCAAGTAGCAGACACAATCATTAAACACACGCGTAAGGTTTAAGTATAAGAATTAGGGCTTGTCTACTCAATTTATTACAGAAAATAATTTAAAAATAAAGAAAAATGGAACAATGACAAAAGCCAGTATACAAGAATACAACTTCAAATTAGCAAAACACAACCACAAATGATTTTTTCTCTTTACAAAATATAGCAATCATCCTGTGTCAAAGACACATAAAGTCCACGTATCAAAAAAAGAGATCATAAGCTGATTTAATCTAGAAAAAAAATTAGAAAACAAAGAAAAAGGAGAAAGATGAACCCTGAGAATCTGTGGACCTTGGTTAGAGCACCATTTACTTCTTTCCTTTCTTTTCTTCCTTTTCCTTGTGTTTTTTAAAGGTAACATTTTTTTCCGTTTGGTCTTAAGATGGCATTTACATCTGTGAAATAAGCATGCAAAGCAGTGAAATACTAACCTTCCACGGATAAAACCATGGTATTAAAGATGATCAACCTTTAGACGATCATTAATTCACAACTGAAATAAAAATGAACACTTCACCTGCAGATATCGTTACCACGAGAAGTGATTAGAGAAAGAGCTTCAACTATAGCAATTGTGGGCAAGAAGGTGCACAAAAACTGCTGATAAATCTCATAATTAAAAAATAATAGTATAATAAATAATCTAACAAGAATCAGAAGAAAAGAAAAAGATAAGAACCTAATGATACAAAAGAAAGTTTGTATTTTTGATAGAACAGTGAATATTAACTATGAACAATGGACAAAAACACATAATTCATGAGATAAATTAAGTACAGCACAACTAATAGAACTTCTCTCAGAAGGTATTTTTGGAAAATTAGTGTATGGAAACTACTTTTTGATCCAGGTGCAACATCAGATATATATTTTCTGATTCATCCTTTTCAGATGAAGATAGAAGGAACAGCACTAGGAATATAACAATTATTCTGATTCTACATTGAATATCTTATTTTTGGGCCAGTAAGGAGGAGTTCCATTTAACTTATTTCTCTTGCTCCACTAACCCAAAACTGCACAGGAGTCATAGAGTTGGGATGGCAAATCTCAATTCAATAACTCCGAATCATATTTCATTTTTTTTGCTCTGTGTCGGGGTTTCTAGAAGCACAACTTGGTTTAAAATACAAAGTTCAACTTCTTTAGATACCCAACGATAGCTTGGAACATCAACAAAAATTACAACTTTTTTCTACCAACAAACTACAATGAATTCTGCTTATTTCGATGTAAAATTTCACAGGTATAACTACAAAACCAGCCAATTGAAGCGTGTTCTACTTTTTAGATAATCAACTGATCCCTAAGTTTTCAATTTTTGGGGAAAATTCAAATTGTTAAAGCAAAAACTTCATTTGTAAACACATGTTGATATCCTCACTAATTGAGATTTTGACACCGTTCAATCACGGAAGCACGGAAGCAAATAGAGAGGGGAAAGAGAAGGGAAAAGTTTACCTTCAAGCAATGGATTCGGTTGCTCGCCGCCGGTGACTTGGGGGTGATGTGAGGATTAACAATGGAGTTTGGGTTTTTTTATTTTTTATTTTTTATTTTATTTACATTGGAGAATTTAGCAAAAGATTTGTTTTGTCCTACTTGGCTTGCTTTATCAATTTTTATTCTCTTATTTACTTTTATATTTTCTTCTTCTATTAGTTATTAAAAGTTAAAATAGAAAGGATCCGTTAGTCTAACGGGTCAAGGAATTTGAAAAGCTAGCGCGTTCAAACTTAACCTAATACTAAAAGGGCCAAGGGCTGGGAAAGGTTAGCGCCTTTTTTTTTCTTTTCAAACTTATATTTTATAATATCAAGAAAATGAGAAGATTTTCAAATCAAATATGATAAACAATTGTGTTGTTTCAATAACATTAGTGAATAATCTAGTGTAATTAGCATGTATTTCTCATATGAGATACGCGGGCGACATAAGAGAGAAACAAGTAAGACGAGAGGGAGACGAGGGCGCGAGATTTCTCTATGTATCCTTGATATATGCAAATCTACTTTGATAGAGTGTATATAGAACAAATTAACCTGATTTTGAGTCGATGTATTCCAAGATACAAGTATCTAGACGTATCGAAATCTCGTAAGATTCATAATATTACCACATACCGTGTACTTAAGTAATTAGACTATATACTAGTGAAATTATTGTAAATTACCCTTAAATAAAAAGTTTTAGCCCATGAGTCAACCCTGGCCCGACCCAATCAAGCCTTAAGGGCCAAAGACTTATTTGAATTGGGCTTATAAGCCCTAGTTTAAATGGGCTTGAAAATTTGATCTCGACCATATTCTTAATAATGGGCTGGGTTGGGTTAGTCTCATGGGCTAAGCGCGTTTTGACTGCTCTAGTTAAGAAAAATGAGAAACTTCGGTCCCGATCAATTCATCGATTTATATTTCTTACCTCAATTTTTTTCAATTTATGTTTGATATTTTCTCTGTATAAATTTATTCGTTTTTATTTTCTTTTTATGTTAAGTATTTAAAAAGCTATGAAAATATGTAGTATAATAAATATAATAATTAATAATTTAAAATATTGAAAAACATATTAAAAATTTGGTGAACTCATCAAGTTTCATATGTTTCACATAAATTAGGACAAAAAAAATAATTTGTATTATTTGAAAATTATATAAATAATTATCACGAACCACAATAATTAACAACTTAAAATATTTTTAAAAATCATATTAAAAAAAAATGTTCTTACTCTCTCTGGGAATCAAGATGAGCTTTGGTCAGTCGGCGATTGATTGTCTTTCTGCTTCAATTTTCTCTATATGTTTAGTATTTTTTTCATTTTAAATTATTTATCTTAGTTGCTCGTTTAATATGTTATGTATTCTAAAAGTATGAAACAAGTAAATATAATTATTTTATATTTCTTTTATCTTTTATATATCTTTTTGTGTATATAGAAGGAATCAAGTGGAGCTTAGGGTCAATCGATGAATTGACCATTTTGCTGGTATGCTTCAATTTTTTCTTTATATTTAATATTTTTTCTGTTTCAACTTATTTGTCATATTTTTTTTTAAAGATGTTATATATTTTGAGAAGTAGAAAAAAAGTAGAGTATAATTTGTCTCTCTTTCTTTTATATTAAAGGGCGTAGAGAGGAGCTTAGACTCAATCGTCAAATTGATTGTTTTGTCTTTCTACTTCAATTTTCTCAATTTATATTTAGTATTTTCTTTGTTTCAATTTATTTGTCTTAGTGTTCTTTTATAGTATGTTATGTATTTAAAAAGTAGTAGATCCATAAGACTCTGGGGCGCCCAGGGCGGGGGCGTACAAAAAACGCTCTGGCGTGTAAATTAAAAATGTAGATCCACAAGACGTAAGTACTAAAAATTTGAGGCGCAAGTCCTCAACATAAAAATGTAGTCCTGGACGTAAAAACGTACACTCGGCTTGATTTTTAATTTTTTTTTTTTTGCTTTATATCATATTTTTATTATTGGTGTAATGATATTTCTCAAATAACAATTATAATATTTTTTTTCTTCATTATTAATTATTAATACTTATCTCAAACAAAAATAAACCATTGAAAGATTTACTTTTGCTTATTTTATTAGTAATAGAACTATTAATTTGAATATATGTGAAACTACGCCCCATAGATCAATGGGACTTACGGCCCGTGTCTCGAGATTTTCGCTTCACCTCGCACCGTATAAAACACCTCACCTCAATCAGCAAATGATTGATTTACCTTTCTACTTAAATTTTATATATTTATATTTAGTATTTTTTTTGTTTTAATTTACTTGTCTAATTTTCTTATATAGTATATATATCATTTTTATTTTATTTTTTTCTACTATATGTTAAAAAGTATCATGAGGACGACTAGCTGCATATCAGTAAATAATTTAATGAGCAATGATAATTTATTAAATATTATATCATCTCGATATTTCTTTCGCATTCTCTCTTGTATATTTTTTTCACAATAATTCCATCTGTTTTTCAAAGAAACTCAAAATTTTAACCAAATAATTCAGATCAAAATTCAAGTTTCCTTCATTGTTGTTCTAAAAGAGAAGACATAAATTACACAGCCTCGTCTTAATAGTCTAGAAGCATCTTTGTGTCAAGTTAGTCTATAGAGTAATCAAAGAGAAGATCCAAATTCAACAACTTCATCTTCCAGTTTATCAGTATAGAAGCATATTTGTGTTTCATTAATTTAGAGTAACTGAATAGAAGACCCAAGTTGCACATCTTCTTCTTCTTGAAATCAAAGAGTCACATAGTACTTAAGAAATTGGTATGAATTTCTTTTAGTTTTATCTATTGCTTTTCATTTTCTAAATTTCCAATTCAACTTTGTATCAAGACATGATTTTAATTTGTTCCTCTTTCTGAGCATTTTCGTTCTTACCTCTCAATTACAGATTAAGATATTAGAAACTTAAAATTGTTATTCATTTCAAATCTTATTTATCAACAAACTTCATGCTTCATCATCTATGGAGACTTGATCATTTACTTGATATGATATTTGTTCATTCTTTTATGATTTTAATTTTCTTTTGAATAAATCGAATTTCAATCTCTTGTACGTTTTATTTGTCTCAATCTCAATGGAAAAAAACGTACACCTAACAACACGATACTCTTGTAATATTCAAGGGTATAATTATCATTTTATACAAATATTGTCTTTCTACTTGATATTTACTTTAAATTTTTTATGTATGAAATATTTTTTACTTGCACATTAAGTCCCTTATACATGGCTAAATATCAAACACAATTACTAGATATCTCCATTCTAGAAATTTTCGCTCATACTGTTGAGAATAGCAGAAGAAAAGTAAAATCATGAAACCTTCTGCTGGTTCAAAATCGTTAACTAAAAGTAGAAGATTCAACCAAGGAAGATGAAACTGTGAAATTTGAAGTTCTTTTTGAGCAACTTTTTGAGCCATATTTTTCCTCTTGGCTCGGCATTAGCGATAACATCTGAAAGGCTTCTTACCATAATAGTTAGAAGGCCATTCCTTCTTTCCAGGTGAGCCTAAATCACCAAAAATCAAGATGTGCGATAAATCTCTTGATTTTCCTTTGAAGTTCCTCTTTTTGGCTACAAGAGCATCTCGTTCTCCCTCTTTGACAAACACACTAGTCAATTGATTGGCTTGTAATTTCCATGACGACAACAAATTTTTAAATTTCTTCAAGGATGGTTGTTGAGCCCATACTTGAATTAATGTCACAAATGAAATATATGCAGGCTTCAAATCACGAATGACTATTCTTCTCATTCGTGCTTTAGAATTAGCCTCTTCTAGATTCAATAAAGATATCTCAAAACATAAGTTCTTAATATTTAGAAAAAAAATTTCAGTAATAGAAATATTACATTGAATAGTGTTGGTCAATTCATTTTATAATATCTGCAGGCGAGCTTCATCCTTCTTTTTGAACAAGTGATCAAGAGTCTTTCATATTTCATAAGCCAATTTGCGCCTTATAATATGATCAAATAATTCGGGAGAGATTGACCTCTTCAGGACGAACTCAACCTTAGCATAACCTGCTTCCACTTCTTGTATGCATTGCTATTTTCCGGTCCGTCAGCAGGAGGACTAGTGTTACCCTCATTCATAACATCTCACAAATTCTCTCCCACAAGGTATGATTTCATACATATTTTCCATATGTAACGACCTGCTAGGTCGTTTGAGTAGCAGAACTCTTCTTCCATAAGAGACCCTTTAGGTAAAGTTTTAAATGAGAATTTTGAGCTATTGATTCAACTAAGGTTATTCAATTAGCGGATAAAATTTTGAATAATTTAAATTAAATGGAGGTTAATGGGCTAAGTCCGTAACTTATTTTAATAGGAAAAATAACTTAAATACACAACTATAAGTTTTGTATTCTCTAATTTTCCCTTCTTTTTTTAAATATTACATAACTCCCTTTTTTTTAATTTTAGTATAAGTTTATAGATACATAACATTCTCTCTCCTATAATACACAATTACCCATTTTAATGCCTATTTTTTCTCCATTAAAACACTCAACCTTTTAAATCAGTTTTTGGATTTTGAATTTTCTCCATAAAACACTCAACCTTTTAAATCAGTTTTTGGATTTTGAATTATTAATTTTAATTAAAACACCCAATTTTGAAATTTTGAATTTCAAAATTCAAAATATTTGAAATTTCAAAAATTTGGACAATTTCTCTCCCGTTCAGTTCTTACTCCATCACGTTTTCAATTCTTCTTTCTCCATAATCGTCTTTCTTCTTCTTAACCCAGCATATTTTATTGGTTTCTTCTTTTTCTTCTTAATCCATCATCGTCTTTTTCTTCTTAATCCATCATCGTCTTTTTCTTCTTAATGCATCATCGTTTTAACCCATCATCTTTTTCTTCTTAATCCATCATCAGGTCTTCTTTTCTTTCCCTTTTTGTTTTTGTTAATTGTTCTATTACATCATAGTAATGAATCCGTTAATTAATAGAAGGATATATGATTCCGACGATGAAAATTGGAAAGAAAATAGAAAAAAGTCTTTGCATGATCCTATTAATCTTCAGAAGGATTCAAACAAAGACTCTGTCGAAACATCAAAATCAAAGGTTGTCAAAATAAAACAAAAAAAGAAAAAAGAAGCAGCAAACATTGTTGTTAGGCCTACATTGTCTCGGGTTAGTATTTTGGTACTTAAAACTGTTGTTGAAATTAGTAAAAATTTTAAGGAATCCAATATGTATCAAAAAATCATGAAAACT